ACCGCTCCTCAATCACCCTAAACTATCTCACCGCCCCTCGGTACTCCTTCACCACCTACCGGGTGGCAATATCGCTCCCGGTGAGAAGCACTGATCTAGATGAAGATAAAAATAAGCTCAACTAAAATTATCTTTAAAAAATATAAATATAATCATAATTTATCTAGATAAAAAGTAGATAAAATTTTAAAAAATAACGATTTTATATTAAATTTACAAGAATAACTAAAATAAAATCAGACTTATCATGAGTAAACCATTTTGTATTTGTTTGAGGTATTTTAAATGTGCCTCGATTTTACAATGTTTTATTTGTTTAGAATTAATTATTTACCTAAAAATTTGTTATCGAATATCTATTTATTTCTGAATCTTATTTAAGCGTTAACACTTTCTGTAGTAAAACCGATTATGCTGGAAAAACATAAACTATAATAGGCTACTTCTATCTTCTGCTATGTACAATCGTAAAAAAACATATTCTTTTTAAAACAAATCAATTAACATATTTTTAAAGGGTAAAACTTGGTATTTTTTCTGAGCAAATTTATTAACTGAAATTGAAATAAATGTTAAAAATAGAAGTAAAGATAATGATAAGAATAAAAATGTATTGAAACCAAATTAACACTTTAAAAACTTTAGGTTTTTAGACTATAATCTAAAAACTTTGATAATAGTTTATAATCTATAAATTGTTATCATAAATATAAATAAATATTTTAATATATAATTTTATACATTGTATTTCTTCGACATTTATTATGAAATATGAATTTTTTAGTAAACACTACGGACAATTGTGTCGTGACGGAGTCATGAACGGTTATTGGTGATGGATAGCTACGGGTTTACCCATTTTGCGCAGTATATTTTACAATTTATTAATATAAAATGAATGAAAAGAAATCTACTCTACATGGAGCAATATTATTTAATCCATTAGACCCGGTTGTACGTAATTAGAGGATTTTTTATCAAATTTTATTAGTTTTTACCTGGAAACAGTAGATGCCGACGATAATGATTGTTCATTTTTATCCTTACCTAAAAATCTGTAACTGTCGTTATTTTATATGGTTATTCTTTGTGAAACGCGCGGATGTATAGTATATAAAAACATTCTATATTGTTATATTCTACAGTAAATAACTGCTACATTTGGTCAATACTCATTATGGTGTAGAATGTTAGTCGAAATCTAGAAAAACATATGGGTTCCTTTTTGATCAAATGAATTTTAACTACAAATATTCATTATTGAGTATTTTTGTTGCAACTACCACAGGCGGTACGCAATAAAATCTCCAAGTCCTCGAAATACTCAAAATATTAATTATATATTATATATAAAAAAAATATCTAGATAAATAAAAGTTTTCATATATGATAAATACATGTACAACGTTTATATTTCCTTCTTTTATAAAATAATTGATAATTAATAATTTTATTTAGATAATTATCTAATAGATTTATGTTGATAAGTCTCATCACTGGATGACACATATATATTTTGCATCTATACCTAAATAAAAACTGAATATAACCGTGTTCACCCCATTATAGGCATTCTCTGGGGGGGGTGAATTAAGGAGTAGTTGTTCCTGGTATGGTCGAATTGCACTTATTTTAGTTGAATTGTACTTGGGTTTAAAAAAGTTAATGGTCGAACTGCACTTGGGCTCAAAAATGTATTTCAATAAAATTATCATGCATTTGAAGGGGTTAGATTTATTTTATTTAGTTACATTTATTACCATTTAGTAATCATTAGCGTGGTTAAAAATTATTGTTTTATACATCACATTAATATATGTTAATTATATATGTTTACATTATAATTGTTAGATTATACATTATATTTTTTTTTTCGTATCAGGCGCCATACTCGTAACTATAAGTTAGTAATTTAGACTAGTTTATATATATATAACTGGTTTACAATTTAAAACATACATAGGTAGATAATATACAATTAAATAAATAAAATAAAATAAAATGAAATTTGGTATAGTAAGTGTTTCGACTAGATGTTTTCATTTGCCCAGTACTGGGCCACGTCCATTGCTTTCTGATTGGCAGTGGTTAGGTCTTCTTGCGTGCATGGTCCTGGTGCCAATAGGCATACCAATAAATGTGCCATCGTCTGAGTTGTTCCACAGTGGCAAAATGTCTCCTGATCATTTAGGTATCCCCATTTCAGCATGTTATCCTTAGATCTTTCTACTCCCACTCTCAGTCGATTTAATGTCTTCCACACATGCCATTGTAGATCGTGCTCTGGCGATAAATGTTCCGCAAGATCAATCCAGCCTCTAATTTCTTCTGTTTTAACTTTCCATGCATTTATTCTACTCTGGGAGGGGTCATTTTCTAAGGCACTGGACACTCTGAGAAAGCTTTACCTTGACTTTAGACGAGACATTGTAGTCGTTTGTCCGTACATAGGATGTCTCGGGTCGTTTGCCTGTTTTTGTCTTTCCGAGTTAGTGAAGATTAGTCGTCTTATTGATGGTGGAGTTATGCCTGCCAATAAGTATACTTTTTCATTAGGTGTGTTTTTGAAGCATCCTGTTACAATACGACATGCATCATTTAGAGCGGTATCTATTTTTTTTTTGCATGAGTTGATCTTCCCCATACTTCACATGCGTATTTCCCGACTGAAAAACAGAGGGACATTGCAGATACCCGTAGGGTTTGAGGTTGTGTTCCCCATTTTGATCCTATCAGTTTTCGGAGTAGACTGGTGTGTGTATTTATCTTTTTACTTGTCTTTTCGCAGTGATATTTGTACGTTAAAGTTCTGTCAAGAGTAACTCCTAAATATACTGGTGTATCGCAGTGTAGTAATACCTCACCTTTCCATGTGATTTCCAATTTGCGATTGGCTTCCCTATTTCTCAGATGAAATACGCAAAGAAGTGTATTATTCGGGTTTGTTTTGAGGTAGTTACTTGTATAATATTTGCTCGTGTATTCCAAGACGTTGGTGAGCTTTTCTTCAATTGTCTCAAAACTGCTATCCTGCACAGTTATTGCTGCGTCATCTGCATATATAAAGTGTTTAATTTTATCGTCATTTTATATATATTGGTCATTTGTATATATATTAAAAAGTGTTGGAGCGAGAACACTACCTTGTGGTAGTCCGTTTTTCGAGTTTCTCTATCTGCTGTGTTTCCCTGCCAGAGTGACAAAGAATATTCTGTTACTCATCAGAGACTCAATAATTTCCGTTAAATTAAAATCATTTGTAAGTTTATATACTTTATCTAACAGTAAGCCGTGTGATGCTTTTTTGGGCTTATTACGTTTGTATCTGTTATCATACTAGAGAAATTAATATAGGCAACCCAATGTGAGCTACCTGTAATATGATGGTGTAGGCAACGCACGAAACGACGATGGTGATAGGAGGGAAAGACTTAAAAATTACGGGACTAAGGAACATGAATTTATATACGGGAATAAGAAAATGAGTTTAATTATCGGGGGGGGAGGTCTCTGTGGTCGAATCGGTCTGGTGCAATGACCACAGAGCTCACACACAAATCAGACGAAATACTAAAATTAAACACCCAGGCCACACCTTACAAACTAACTTAAAATTACGTGATGACTAGAAGACGATGGTAACTGCAATTTACGGTGATTGGTAACTGGACGACCTGGACGGCCTCTCACACGCCACACCGGACGCTGGCAGTCTTACGTTTTGACGGTGGACGATATAGTGACCCGAAAGTCATCAGTGGCACAGCAGTTACACTAAAATTTATGGAATAGAACTCACGATAATTTGTAGAGGGTGGACACGCAGACAAAATAAATCACAACAATGAAAATGAGACCTTGTGGTTTGTTTATTGGTACTAATCGGCGAGAATAATAATGTTGCCACAATGGCAGAAGGGTAACAAAAATTAATAATAATGAATTGCCGCAATGGCGAACAAAGAAAGAAAAAAAAGTAAGAATAATAATAATAAAAGGTGCTTCAACAGCGACCGAACGACGAGCGAACAACGACAACGAATAATAAATAACAAAGTTGTCTCAATGGCTATAAAAAAACAATACAATTAATATAATAATAAAATTAATTCAGATATGTAATAATAATTTTACAAGAAAAAGTAAGAAAAACGTGAACTGCTAATAATTATAATAATAATAATAATAATAATAATAAGGGCATTGGCTGCATAATCACATCAAAAAATAATTAAAACCATATGATATTAAAATAATCCGATAACACAAAACGATAACAATAATAATAAATCAATTTACCTACACTTATTATTATAATACACGAACCTAACGACGAAAAAAGAAGAAATGGAAAACAGATAACGACGAGTCACCGCCGCCGTGTTGAACTTCAACCACATATTATCGATAACACTTTACGGCGGCACACCGTGGTTGACCGTGTCATAGGCCGCCGAGAGGTCAATGAAAGCCACGCCGGTAATTTGTTTTTTCTCAAATCCGTCCTCAATATGTTGGATAAGGTTAAGTATTTGTGCTGTGCAGGACTTACCTGGGCGGAAACCAGCTTGTTCTTTTATTAGTTTTTCATCTGTGGCTGGACCTAATCTGTTCAGTAACATCCGTTCATACAGTTTATTAGTGTGGCATAGCAGAGAAACTGTTCGATAGCTGGATGGTAGGTCAGGATTCTTTCCAGGGTTTAGTAAGGCTATTACTTTTGATTTTCTCCACACTTTAGGTAGTTTTAATGTATCTCTGATATTATTAAAGAGGTCTAATAGCCAACTTTTTGTCCTGTATTCAAAGTGCCGGATTTGTTCTAGACGCATATCATCTATACCAGCCGCTTTCCCGTTTTTTAACAACTTTATGACAGCTTCCAGTTCTATATCTAAAAAGGTACCTCCTAAACCCATATTTTCGTTTTCCTTGCGTCTATTGATCTTTGGTTTAGGCATCCTCGGTTTCTTCACCTTAGTAAATTGTGGACTATTTAATTAGGTGTTACTATAGGTATAGTGGGGGTCATTATTCAATCGCTTGGTAAGGTCCCAGGCTTTCTTGCTGCTTCGTTTCATATCTAGATCTGCTAAAAGATCACACCATTTCTTCCTTTTTTCGTCTGTAAGTAGTTTCAATAATTTATCTCCCTCTTCAATAGTTTCTTCGTCAAATGGGTTTTCTTCAAACATTCCCGTGTATTTGTTCAAAGTTTCCGTTAACTCTGGTGTTAGCACTGGTATGTATCGCGTTCGGCAGCCTCTTGGTATGTTTCTCCTAGAAATAGACTTTACTAATTCGATAAATTCGTCGTAATTCTCGGGTATTGGTTCTATAAACAGTATAGAACCAATCCACATTATCAAAAGCTTTTTCTAGATCGACGAAAGCTGTATAAGTTGTTTTTCTTTTTCTATTCTGTTTCTCAATAACTTGTCTTAGTGCTAGAATAGCTTCCCTAGTGCCTTTTCCTCTCTTAAAGCCAAATTGGTCCTCAGTTAGCAATTCATCTATTATTCGTTCCATTCTTTTTAACACAATTCTGGTATGGATTTTTGACGCATGTGCTATAAAACTTAGCGTTCTATGTTGTTCACATGTTTTTGCTGTTATTTTTTTTTGGAATCGGTACAATTATACACTTCGTAAAATCACTTGGCACCTGTCCAGTTTCGTAGCATTCTTTGATTATTTCATAAATGATCTTTTTGGTGTTTTTTCCGCAATTTTGTATAAGTTCCGCAGGAATTTCATCAACTCCGGGTGCTTTCTTGTTCTTCAGCTCCACTAATGCCTTATCAAATTCTTCTCTCATTATACTTTGATCTATTTCTTCCGTATTATTTTGATGTTCTTCATTTATCTCTGCGTCTATTGTCATATTTTCTTCGCGATACAGTTGCTCTAGGTATTTTTTCCAACATTTTGCTACTTCTGCTTCTTCATATATGATATTGCCATTTGCTTCTTTAATACTTGTAATTTTAACTTTTCTTTCCTTAAAAAATGTTCTAACAATCCCATACGCCTTATCCATTAATCCCACTTTTAACGCTTCATCAATATCCTGACAAATGTTATTCAAAAATACTTCCTTGCTTTTCTTGCATTCTCTATTTATTGCATTTTTTAATTTCCCGTATTTTTCCTTTCCTCTTTGGTCTGTAGCATTTTTATATTTCCTCCTTTCATTAATCATTTCCAGGATTTCTTCGTTCATCCATTCCTTCCTTTTAGTTTCTTTTGATTTCCCTAAAACTTCATCCGCATTTTTTTAATATGCATCATTTGATATTTCCCCATTTCTCTTCAATGCTTAAAGTACATTGTGCATCATAGGTCTCCATTATCGCTCTATCTGTCCTTTCTTTGTATGAATTTTTGATTTCTTCCACTTTCAGGTTTGTCAATTGAAAGCGTTTCATACCTATTTTCTTTTGTAATCTCTTAAACTTAAGTTCACAGTGCATTAGGACCAGGTTATGATCGCTATAAATATCGGCACCTGGATAACTTTTACAATCTTTAACATGATTTTTGTATCTTCCTTTTACCAGTATATAATCTATTTGTGCTCTTCTTATATCGCCAGGAGCTTGCCACGTATATCGTCTTCTTTTGTGATGTTGGAAGTGTGTGTTCGTTATTATTAGATTATTTCGTATACAGAACTCTAATAAGATTTCTCCTCTTGGATTTCTAATTCCAAGTCCAAACTTGCCGACAATATTCTTTTCTTTCCCTTCCCCCACGGTGGCATTAAAGTCTCCTAGGATAATAAGATTTTCTTCTCCTTTGTCTTTATTAAATCATTTAGTTCTTCATATATTATTTCTACTTCATCGTCCTCTTTTTCTGAGGTGGGCATATAAACTAGAATTATCACAGTATCTATTAGTTTGGTATCTAACTTGACTAGAATTATTCTATCGCTATATTGCACATAGCCTTTTACCTTGTGTCCCATATTTTTTTTGAAGAACTATTCCTACTCCTTTTGTACCAACCTTCCATCTTCTGTTCCCGAATAAATTATTCTATATTCTCCTAACCAAAAATCACCCGATTTAAGCCATCTCATTTCCGAGACGCCCAGAATATCTATTTTAAGTCTCTTCATCTCAACTTTTAAATTCTCTAATTTCCCTGTCTGCAGAAGTGTTCTGACATTCCATGTACCAACTCTCTTGATATCATGACCTTTCATCTTCATTCTTAAAGAATTAACTTCTTGAATAGTCCCCACCCGGAGATCCGATTGGAGGACTATTTTACCTTCGGAATTTTTTACTGTCAAAGCATTCATACTTTAAAATTGCTGATACTTAGGATATCTATTAAGATCTTTAATGCGATAGTTTCCTCTTACTTTTCGCATTCTATGCCGTTGACGAGAAAATTGACTCGTTCGTCCGCCTTTAAGAGCAATTTCTTACCCTAAGGACAAGAGAGTGCCCTTCCCTTTACTAGCGTAAAGAGTTGCTCCTTATACCGGGAGTAGTCCGGCTTAATCCCACTGTAATCTCCTGCCTGAGGATTTCCGCCAGTGGAGCTCGGGGCCCCGGGTGTGCTAAGCCCGTAGTATATGTCATACTATTGACATATACTTCCCCTGAGGGATATATATGAGTATATGTTATTATTATATAATATTATCTGCGTTATCTAAATGGCACGAACTATTATATAATGCTATTAAATAAGTACGCTGTAGCGTTCTTCAACAGAAAGATTCGTAATATTTTTAGAGGGTTTTCCATTATAACTCTTTTTTTAAACGAGTGCAGTTCGACCATTACCTTTTTTCAATCCAAGTGCAATTCGACCATTTATTTGTAGGTAATAAGTGCAATTCGACTATTCCGGTTGTTCCGGTGACCTTTTTTTCTTCGATTTTTTGTTTCTTATTATTTATATATTTTTGAGAAAATATATGTTTGAAGTTTGTCCCTCTCCCCTATAAAAGGGTGTAAAGACGCTACTAGTTTACCTTCTTAGGACACTGTTAAACATGTTACCACAAGCCAACGAATATTCCTTAATTTATTATACTCACTTTCAAAATTTGAACCATAACCTCAACATATAAATATAGTATTCAGTAGCATGGTGATTATCTATAAACCATAATGCACAACATATATTTCAGTACCTAACCACCCACTTTTTTCTCTAGCACACCATCCTTGAAATGCTTTCAAAAACATAATTGAAGAAAACTAAAAACTATTAAAGATTAAAATACCTACCTACTTACATTTTACCAACTCAAACTTCAGATTAACAAATTTTATGAAACTTTTCCCTCTTCTATTTTATTATTAACTAAAAATACAAAATGTTGATTTTATGGTCGTGTTATATTCTTATAGACTACCACGAGTTCTGTTTCATTCGTGTTTCGTGTAAGTAATATATTTAAACTTGGAAAATTGATATATGAGTATTCATCCAAAACATTTACTCATCAAAATCCAACCACACACATACCCACTCATTATCAATTATCATGTACCGTTTTATCAAAAATTAATACTTACTTAAGTATTATAATACAATTTGCAAATGGTTAATTTTTATAAAAATATTAACTTAAATAAAATACCATCTCGTATGTCATTTTTATATAAAAGGAAAACAGTAAGGGTACGCTAGAATATATCTAATAATTTAGTTGGGGTATTCAGCTCCCCCCCTCCAAGTCAAGTATGACTTGTATTGTCCTTAATATTTTACTTTAGCTCCAATAAATCGGTCTCTGAATTATTGTTTAATTTACATTTTTATTACATTAAAGGTCTACCCAAATAAGCTAATTAGATTAATTAGATTTTAGTTACAAAATAAATCTACCTAAATTCGCTGCTCTGCGCTGTCAATTGTTCTAACATTGAATGCACAATAAGCACGCACACCATCATATTATCAAAATTGTCTACGTAGCGCCTACGTAGTTGCAACTACAATATACGTCTTATATATAATCTTTTGTATTAAATTTGATAAAAACAGATTGCCAACAGCAGAAAAAATATCAATAGTGGTTATTTCTACTATTGATCAAACTGCATAAGATACTATGCAGGTCGACACAGGTACAGTTCTACTCTGCCTTGTCATGCCTCCCAATATGCGCCCGGTCTTAATCGTATTTTTAATTTTAATTTTTTTTTAGCGTAATATTCTGACACACTAAGGTTACTAATCATACCGAAAAAGAAACTTTTATGAATAAGACTATATTGTCGAAAGTGAAGTATAGAAACCTTCCTCCTTCATCAAAGAATGCTAAACCTACACCCTTCTAGATAACAAAAATTTAAAATATAAATGATCACAATATAATAACTGATAACCAGTAGCGGTGCGTGAATAAAATTTAAAGGGAGACTTAACTTTTGAGTAACCAAGGGCGTCCGCAGAAATGTGTCAAGGGGGGG